GAAGCTACGAACATGAATCTGACTCAACTCCGGGAGGCAGTGGAAGACAGGAGGGCCTGGCGTGCTCTGTGGGGTCACCAAGAGTCGGACACGACTAAACGACTAAACAATAGCAACACCTAGATATGCCAGCAGGAACATCTCAAGTCTGGCATCAGCATGTGGCACCTTAGGGCAGAAGCTAGGCAGGGCTCAGGGCCTGCGCTATCATTTGGCAGTGAAGCAGTGCCTCAGGTAGTTGCTTTTGGAAGGGAAGAGATGCTTACAGGATTTTCTGCTTGAACTGGCTAACTTTGAGTACTACGTACCTTGAACTGAGTGGGCCGGAGGTGCAGTGCTTAATGACTAAACAACAACCCCTGCAATAGACAGAGACCAGTGGGTTAGCCTGCCATGGATAAGGCTGGAAGTTTTACAAATTCAACACCTGAGCAGCTGTGAAACATTAAGATTTGCCCCTGGAGGAATTATGCATATTAAGGAGGCTGATTTAGGCTTACTTGTTCAACCTGTTGGATGACAGCTGGAGTGTGGCAAATGGAAGAACTGAAAGAAGGCAATTAGGGGATTGAACTTGAGCATCCTTAGCCATGTCTGCAAGCTGGCATGGCATGCCACTGTTCAGGATTCAGGCCACATTGCTTCAACAATTATTCAGCATTCTTTTGCCTCTGGAAACATTCAGTACTCACTGGGATTTCAATTTTTTTAAAAATTTTTTTTGGTAGTTCTGCATATCTGTGGGTGGGGTATACCTTCCTCCTTGAGAATAGTTGGTGTTGTTTTGGGCACAGCATTTCTTGGAAATGGCGGCAGGGGTCACTTCTATGGCTGCATTAAGTGATGAGGTGGGGGGACGTGCGTGCCCAGTTTTGTAAGTACAGTAACAAAAGGCTCTCTCACAGAGATTGTGACTAGAAGGGCATAGATAAGAAATTTTGTTTGATGAGAAAACTTCAGCTGGCCAAGGAGGTAATATAAAAAGTGAAGTTTTCCTTCTTTTAAACCTATCGTGGCAGTGCTGGCTGCCTTGCAACAGAATTGACAAAACACACCTTTATAGGATCACACAATCAGATTTCTTTTTTATTGACTGTACAGGCCAACTCTGCCCATGATAGCCAAGTTAGTGGGTTTAAAAGCACAAAAACACCTTTTTCTTTTCCCTTCCTGTTTATTATTTTTTCTTAATTGTGTACAATGAACTTTTCCCTTCTATTGGTATTGAGGATGGAATGCCTTTTGTAAGACACCACCTGTTCAGCTAGTTATCCTGATGTTTGTCCAGATTTGCCTTCATGCTGTATTTCCCACCTTGTTCTCCACAGGTAACATGGTTGAATGGTGTTTACCACAAGATATTGATCTGGAAGGCGTTGAGTTCAAGTCTATGGCCAGTGGGTCCCATAAAATCCAGTCAGATTTCATGTGAGTGTACAAAACATTCCTCTAGATTCTGCTCTGACTGCTTAATTGTGCTTTTCTTTCCATTATCTAGGAACGAGTGCACATAAACATATTATATGGACATTGTTATTTTTATTGTGAAGAAATGTGTGACATGATGTATGTAACATTATTATAGCCATGTGTAATTATGTAAACCTACATATTGTGCCTGCCCTGTGGCAGTATTCTGTACAGTTCCTCACTATGGTCTCTTCCAGGGCCCCTGTTGATGAAGGCCAGGGAACCATTATATATATTTTTTTCGCTATAAAGCAGTATTCCCCAACCTTTTTTGAACTATGGACCAGTTCATTGGGTGGGTGGATGGGCGGCGTCCATGCATGGGTGGGTGGGGCGTCCGTGTGTGCATGTGGGGGACCCATGCGTGTGTCCGTGCATGTGTGGGCAGGGTATGCATGTGTGTATGTGGGGGGCATACTTGTGGGTGGGGAAGCGTGCGTGCGGGGAGGAGATCTGTCTCTGTGGCCCAGTCCTGCCAAGGCCACGGCCCAGGGGGTTGGGGACCCCTGCTATAGAGTGAATATCAGACTTAAAGGAACAAAATGTAAAGATGTGCCACTGGGGGAAGTAGTTAAATATTGTCCCTGTGACAGATCTTGTCTCTACTTTAGATAACATAAAGCTGCCTGGATAGCTTGGTGAGTTAGGTATCTGGTGGTGGAGCCAAAGGTTGATAGTTCAATTCCCCACTGTGCCTCCAAAGAGTATAGAGCCAGCCTATGTGGCCTTGGGCAAACTGCACAGTCCCAGGGTAGCCCCAGAAGAGGGGAATAGTAAATTACTGCTGAGTACTCTCTTGTCTGGAAAGCCCTGGAAAAGACCATCATGAATCAGAATGGACTTGAAAGCACATAATGATGATTATGATATAATATTTATAGAATTTTTACTCTGTAGAACATTCAAAACTGGCTTTTATAGGGATATCTAAAAAACAAAAACAAAATTCTGCTCATGCAGGTATTGACTTGAACATTTTTAGAGGGCTGGTAGAGCCTCCCCAATGTCTGGCCTCCATAATTAAAAAAAAAAAAAGTGTATACTGCCCAGAGAGTGCTTTATGCACTATGTTAATGTCTGGCCTCCATAATTTAAAAAAATTGTATACTGCCCAGAGAGTGCCTTATGCACTATGTGGCGGTATATAAGCAGCAGCACACTTAATTCTGGTTCCTTTTTACTTGTGGTTAAAGGATCAGGAATCAGGATCTGATCTTCTCTTCTGCCGTGAAGTACATTCCCCATTTTCACCTTAACAGTAAGTTAAGGGAAGCCTTGGCACCAGCATTAATTGTGATTAGCCCTAGTGTCCTGTCCCACAAGATATAGTCCAAGCACAGTTATCTGTGCTCCGTGAACATCCCGTTTGGATTTCTCATAGTCTGCAAACTTCCCATATATTGGTTATGGGGCTTCCCTTGAAGACTGGTCTGGTAACAGCAGTAGGTATAGAATATATGTGCTAGAATTTAAGCTGGGGTTGTTTGCTGGGTACAGTTTACCAATGTATTCGCAAAGGCTTTCACGGCCAGGATCTAATGGTTGTTGTGGGTTTTTCGGGCTCTTTGGCCGTGTTCTGAAGGTTGTTCTTCCTGACGTTTCACCAGTCTCTGTGGCCGGCATCTTCAGAGGACAGCACTCTGTGAAGACACCGGCCAGAGAGACTGGCGAAACGTTAGGAAGAACAACCTCCAGAACATGGCCAAAGAGTCCGAAAAACCTACAACCACCAACAGTTTACCAGTGTTAAAACAGCTTGCTGACTGGATTCTGTATACATACAGTTTGCCAATGTTAAAACAGCTTGCTGGCTGGATTCTGTATACATACATAGCTTTTTACATATACAGGTGCTTTCCCTATAAAGCTATATATGGCTTGAGATTCAAGAACCTAAGGCAGATATTGAACATCTTTTTCATACGTCATTCATATATGACTCATGAGGCATTCCAGGAAAAGAAAATGCCTGCTTACACAAGCCACAACCCTTTATCTTATCTTATCTTGGCACTTTCTCTTGGCTCAGTCATAAGTGGGAGATTGGAAGTAAGGGAGTCTCTTGGTTGCAATGTACACTCTTGAGGAACTCTTTTTAAGGCTGGGTACCTCAGCCCAGCACTTTTTTCTCTGTTGATGACGAGAGGTGAGGGAGATGTGTATATTGGTAGGCAGAGATGCGGAATGCATCAATGGGCAAATGGCAGGAGCGTCTTTCCTGAGGCCCACTCAGATTATAACCCAACCCAGTTGCTGCTGGGTGGTGACCCCCTTTATAGCCCTTTTTGTGGGCTTTCCTGCCGCCATTCTGCTAATCCTTTTGGATTTATGTTTAGTTCTTTATTCACATCATGTCCCACGTTCTTTTCCAGTTACTTCCGGAAAGGGCTTTGTTTCGGCTTGGCCTGTTTTGCCAACATGCCTGTGGAGAGCGAGATAGAACGTGGTGCCCGCATGAAGTCGGTGGGGATTCTTTCTCCTTCCTACACCTTGTTGTACAGATACATGCACTTCCTGGAGAACCAGGTCAGGTACGTCCCTAAGAACAGGGAGGGCGTGTGGAAGAAAGAGGTTGACGGTTCTTATACATTTTGAATACACATTCTGTCAGCGTGGTGGTTTTTCTGGAGGTACAACCAGTTTTTTTTTTATTTAACTGTTATAACTTCATTTGTCCAAATACCAGGAATAGGTATTTCCCTCTAGTTTATGAACCATTCCCTCTAGTTCATATAACGGTTTGGGTCCAAGCTAAAATACTATGTCACCCTCTATGAGCTTGCCCGGGCATTAAGATAATCAGGAGGGGCCTTTCTCTCTCTCCCACCACCCTCACAGGTGCCCTTGGTGGGGGCACAGGAGAGGGTCTTTGGTGTCGCTGCTCCCAGACTCTGGAACTCCCTCCCACAGGAGGCCAGCCTGGCCCCATCTTTGCTGTCGTTCCACAAGCAAAGACCCTTCTCTTCAGGCAGGCTTTTCCTGAGTGACTGGCAGTCTGAGAAGGGTTTTTGAAATTGGATTCTTGTGCTCCTTTGCTTTTAAATGTGGTTTTAGTATTGATTTTATTTATCATTTAAAAGATGATACTACTTTAATTCTTTTAAAATATTTGTACACTTACTGTTTTTATCGTTTAAATATTGTCCTTTTAATTACGTAAGCTGCCTTGAGTCCTTTCAGAGGGAAAGGTAGGCTAAAAATATTTTAAGTAAATAAGTAAGTTGGATGGAGCTGTGCAGATCATTTGGTGGCATGTGCTGAAGTATGAAACTCATCCTGGCTCAGTAAACAGCTGAGCAAGGAAGGTGCCGCCTGTTTGGTTCGCCTTGATGTTTTATCAAGGTGAGATCATCTTATACTTTGGACTTGACTCGTTCTGTTTCGATGACATTGGAAGGTTGGCTGTACACTGGCATGCTAAAGATCCCTCTTTTAAAAAATGATATCAATTAGTTTCAGTATTAAAACCAACTTTGTTGTATGGCTGACGAAGGGGACTAAGCTGATAGGAACATTGAGAGCCCTGACTCTGGAGAGTAAGAAAGTAGTACAAGAGTGAGTGGCCCTTTTTCAACTAGAGAGATGAATTCATTTGTAGACATGGGCATTTGTTCTTGTTGGGATGGAGCCATAGAGGAAAATGTGGGATCAAAACACTGGCATAACTACAGTGGTGCCCTGCTTGATGATGACAATGCGTTCCAGCAAAATCGCTGTACAGTGAAATTGTCGTCAAGCGGAAAAAAACCCCCATTGGAATGCATTGAAAACCGGTCAATGTGTTCCAGTGGGGGAAATACCTCATCATCCAGCGAAGATCCTCCATAGGGCGGCCATTTTTTATCCCTCTCTTTCGAAGAATCAGTCTGGAAAACAGCGGAGAGACATTTTGCGACCGATCAGCTGTTTTTAATCGTTGTCAAGCAAAAAAACCGGTCCCAGAAGCAGGGACCAAGTCATTGTTAAACGAAAATCACCCATTGGAACCATCATTTTGCGATCGCTATAGCGATCGCAAAAAAGGCATCACAAAGCACTTTTCTCGTCAAGCGGGGTCATCGTCAAGCAGGGCGCCACTGTATAGCTTAAAGGTCTTAGTCTAGTGCAGTGATTCCCATCCTTGGGTCCCCAGATGTTCTTGGAGTGCAGCTCCCAGAAATTCTGGCCAGCACAGTTAATGGTGAAGGCTTCTGGTTTTTTTTTTTTGTCCAAGAACATCTGGAGACTCAAAGTTGGTCTAGTATGTCAGTCCTGGGAGAGGAATTTCAGTTCTTTCAAATGGAGAAAAACTTGGAAAACATCACGCAATCGTTCATAACGAAGGGAGCATAGAGATCTAGGAAATCCCAGAGGGCCTGACTGAGATTCAGCCCCAGGGTCTGAGGTTCCTTTTCCCAGAAGTAGCAAGTACCACTGATAGAAATGGAAAGTGCCAGCCTTCTTGAGGAACAAAAGCCCACTCCACAAGTATTTGTGTAACATACCTTATCTGTGTGTCTTCCAGACACCAGCTGGAGATGCCTGGACATTACTCTCACTTGGAAGCCTTTTATGATGACAAAAAGGGGGTTATCTCTGCTGGTACCACTGCCTCCCAGCAGCCTGTCCACTGGTTGCCTTCCATCCACAGATATATGTACCCAGAGATGAAGGTGAGGTATTCCTTGGCATTACTTGGCTTTGGAGGGGTACAGAGTCCATTGCTGTCCCATGGTGGTCATTTGGCCTAGAAGGAGATTTGCTGTTGGTTAACATGGTGCTCCTAAGGCCCCTTAGATCAAGAGGGCATCTGCTGGTGAAGAACCTGTCGCATTTCGGGTGCCTCTGCTCCAGTTTTACACTCTCAGGTTTACCACAGGCTGCAACAGTCTGGAAAATACAAGGGCTGCCTTGGTGTCTGCTTTGGGTATTATTTTGGATGGGGGTTGCAGATGGTTGATCTGGGAGGCCTTTGTGTGGGAGTTGTAAAATCAGTCTTGGTAGATGATTCCAGCTGTGGAGATGAGCTTCTCTGGGTGAAAAAAAATGCACACACCCCCCCCACCCTTTGTTTTGGTGGTGGACGGCCTTCAGTGGAGGCATAACCAAGCTCCTCAGGGCTTTGTTGACCCCAGTCCTTGGGATGGATGGATGGATGACTGCCTGAAAGCCAGGCAGACATCACTTGA